TAAATCTAAATCCCTGACAACCTCAATCTTTTCACCATTTATTGTGATGTTGCTTATTTTTCTGGATGTGAGGATTTTTATTTTCTCTATGTTGAACTGTAATTCATACTGAAGACCATAGTATTTGATCTTCATCAGTAAGTGCTTCAAGTCATCTTTACTTTCAACAACCCAGGTTGTGTCATCTGCATTTTGCAGATAGAATTATTCAGTAAGTTCTACACAATGTATGAGACCATACCTGAAAACAAATGGGATAATATGATCCCTAACAGCATATAAAATGTGTGCAAAATGGAAAATAAATCTAAAAAAGCTTCAGATATCCAATTATAGTGTAAGGATAAAATAGCAATGATTAAACAAGGTGGAACACTGAAACATGAAACTCTTTTGTGTGTTCTGATGAAATATAGAAGGATGAATGGTCCCCAGAGCAGAAATAGACATCATGGAAGAATAGTTTTCAAGGTAGAGCTTGGCAATTAATACCCTTCTACTAGTAAATCTGGAGCTCTGGTTGCATAGTGCCTAAGGCACTTGACTGCTAACCAGAAGGCTGATGGTTCAGACCCACCAGCCACTCCTTGGAAGGATGGTTGAGCAATCTACTTCTGTAGTGACACTGCCTGGGAAACCCAGGGAGCAGTTTCTATGAGTCGGGGCCAACTCAACGGCACATAACAACAACAACTAGTAAATCTATTCATCAAACATATTTTCTGAAATGCCTCTGACACTTTCAGCTTGAGAATATGGTTACAATTAGCAGCTTTTGTAAACTCCGCTTCACCTCATTAGTTTTCATGGATACACCATGTTATAGGGCTGATTGTTGGGCAATCCTACTTCCGTAGTGATACTGCCTCGGAAACCCAAGGAGGGGTCGCTATGAGTTGGGGCCGACTCGACGGCACGTAACAACAACAACAACAATAGCTTTACAGATTTTGAGAGAACATGTCTTATTTCACATTTCTTTTATGCTCAAAATATTTAAAGTTCAATGACTTTTAGAAGTAATCTTTTCTACTGCTGTCAAACTGAAAATAAGGAACAAAACATGTGAAGGCAAGAAATTTAGTTATGCAGGGATAAAATGTATATATAATCTCTCCATAAACTGGCTCTAGAAAGTGTATGCATAGCAGCGTTTCCTTAACATTTTTTTTTATTTTATTGCAAAAAGATAATGTTATGTTTTATGTTATGTTATGTGCCGTCGAGTTGGACCCGACTCACAATAGTTGGCCAAAATAGTGCCACTTACCTCTTAAAAACAGGGAAAAAAAACTGTTTGTCCAAATTAAATAAGCAATTTTACTTTGTAGCCAAATTCTCTTTTAGAGTCTGGGTGAAGGTATCAGATTTCAGAGCGAAAAATCACATTTCTCAGGGAAATAAAAGCTAGGGAAAAAAAAAAAAAAAAAAGAATGAGTCCATAACCAACATATCTTGACTTAGTCAAAAAGAAGCAGCCCTGGAATTCAGTTAAAAAAATAAATATTTTCCTTTTCTTTGACACATTTCTGTGTATATCTTACTGGTTATCTAATTCAATTTAGATTTTTTTTACAGTGAATAAATCTACAGGGATCTGATAGGTTTTTGGCTCTTAATTGTAGAACATAATGATGAAAAGGAAACAGCAAACCAAACCAGAGTTCACTTTTCACAAGCTCAGTTCTCCTGTGTTCTTTCCCAATTGTTATTTACTAACTATATGTTTGGATCCTGCCCCTGCAGAAGATATTCATACAAAAATTATACTAGCAGTCTTTTTGTTAACTTATTGTTCAAAATTCAATGCAGGGAGATCAATAACATATTGTTGTTATAATAGGCCATCTGCTGGGACATAGAGATAGCTTTGTTCTTGTGTTAAGTATTTATCAGTCTTTCTCTGGTCATTTGTTGTAATTCAATGTATGTATTATTAATAGATAAATCAGAACATCCTATTCTGTGTTGAAAATAGAACTCGGGCAGCTAAATAAACGAAAATTTTCTGTTGGCCTTGACAAATTATGAGACATCATTTGCCCTGGGACAAGATATAGACCTGGATGTTCGCAATTTTCAGTTTAAGTGAACTATTTCTAAGTCATCAAATTGATGCTTGTTTCTAAATTTTTGATTTGAAAAATAATGTCTTTCAAGGTTGAACATAAGATCAGATCACCCAGAAAATCTGATGTATTTTGTTCCCACTTAAGGTCCAAATGAGTCAAACCTGAACATGGAAAATGTTAGAATTGTTAATTATTGTCGATCTTATAAATGCCCATGATAATAATATCTAGGAGCTCCAGTAGTATAGTGCTAAAGCATTTGACACCTAACCAGAAAGCTAGCCATTCAAACCTACCATCCTCTCCTCGAAAGGAAGGTTGGACAATCTACTTCTGTAGAGATACCATCTCGGAAACCCAAGGAGAGGTAGTTATGAGTTGAGTTGGACCTGTCTCAATGGCGGTGAGGGTTTTTTTTTTTTTTTTTTAATAATAATCTAGGGCAAATAGGAAAAGGAGACAAAACATATTATTATATTTCTTCTTGTGGATCAAAACAAACAGTAGGAGGAAGGAAGCCCAAGATTTATTTGCCCATGAGGAGATACAAGTTAATTATTGACCTTCCAACAATGCTGATAAATGTTTACAAGAGACTATGGGGAAGTGTGTTCCATCAAATTCATAGAGTTAAATTATTCTTTAACTTTGCTTTCTTTTTTCCTTCAGTATGAGGGTTTTGTTTGTTTTGTTTTTTTTCTATTCACCAGCAGAAATTGGTATAAGTATGCAGGGGAAATACAATTTTCTTATTTTTGAATGTTTCCGTAACTATTTCTTGTCTCTCAAATTCTTGGTAAATAATATTCGGTACCAAATATAAATAAACTCTACATTTGCAACTGAATTATACAAAGTTTCAGTATATTTCTTACAGCAAAAGACCAAGTCACATATCTACATATCCTTTATTTCAAATAACCCAAAAAAATGAACTCTAGAATCTAGATACATATATTTTCATCCAATATTACAAAAATGGTGAATATTTTACAGTGTTTATAAACTAAATATCTATTATTTGTATTTTTCAAAGCCAGTTCCTGATAGTGAGTATATTACATATTGTGACTGGGAGCTATAATTTGCCAATTCATTAAAAAAAAAAAAAATTCCTAAGAGCCTTTAATGAGATATTTAGAAGAGTGTGAATTGCACCAGATGCCAATTAGTCTGTTTGTTGTCCTCATTGGTTCTTTTTTTCTCTGGCCTTTTTCTAATCCAATCACTTTTCCCCCATAATCTGAAGCTATAGCAACACAAAACTGGGTCTGTAGACATGCAACATGTTTTTGACCAATAAATTTGTTAGAAATGCAGAATCCTAGCTCCCATATTAACCTACAGAATCAGAAACTGCTTTTTAACAAGATTCTCAGTTGATATATATGACCATTAATCTATGAGAAAAATTCACTTTCTTATATATCTACATTAAAGAAACTAATAGAAATAGCTGAATAATGGAAATAGTAAAACTGACAGCTAGAACAGCGTAATTTGGCCTAATGTCACTGAAAAATTTGCTAGTTTTTTTTTTTTAAATATCTCTCTCTTTTGAGTGTGTATTAGTTTTCTTTTGCTGCTGTAACAAATTGCCCTGAACCTAGTTGTTTAAAACAACAAATATGTATTGTCTTATAGCTCTGAAGATCACCCATTTCCATAACAGTATCACTGCCCTAAAATCAAACCAAGATGTTGTTGTCTGATGGCTCTAAAGGAGAATGGTTTCCTTGCTCATTCAGGTTGTGAGCTGATCTCAGTTTCTTGCACTTGTAGGACTGAGGTCCCTGCTTCCTTGCTGGCTATCAGCTGAAGGACCATCCCCAGTTTCTAGGGGCTGCCTTCAATTTCTGGCTGGTGGCCCCTTTCTCCATCTTCAAAACCATCAATGGTGGGTCAAGCCTTTCTCACACCTCAAACTTCTCCTTTTATTTATATATATATATATATATTTATTTATTTATTTATTAATTTCCTTCCGTCACATTCCTCGGACCCACTTTTCTGCCTTCCTCTTTCACTTTCAATGGTTCATATGATTTGATTGACACTATCATCTTAATCAATCTCAATATTCTTAACCTTCATCAAATCTGAAGTTACTTTTGCTGTGCAAAATAGCATATCCCCATGTTCTGATTTTTAGTGTGTGAATATCTTAGGGGAAGGTGTTGGAGGCATTATTTTCTCTTCCATATCATTATCATTAGGTGCCATGAAGTCACTTTCAATTCAAAATGACCTTATGTACACCAGAAATAAATACTGACTTGTCCTGCACCATCTTCAAAATCATTGCTATGATTAAGCCCATTGTTTTCTAGGATAGAGTAATAAACAGTTTCGAACAGCTGATTTCAGATGCAATCTGAATGAGAACAAGTCACTGAAATCCCTAATAATATATCATTACAATTTGTTTGGAATAGGTTGCAGGGTTAGATTGTAAGAAAAATTTTGATTTATTTGAGATGTTCTTTAAATAATACTCATTCAAGGCAATATATATTCATAGAAGACTCTGCACACACTTCATTTTTTTATATAATTTCCATTTATTCAATGCTGTTTTGACTCTGCTTGTAATTACTGACTATTTAATAAGTCTCAAGCACTGCAACAGTACTATGGTAGGATAAGTGAATCAAATGCAATATTAAAGCTCATTTCAAATTTGCCACAAGGACTCACAAGTGTAAGGAATAATTAGTGTACATAATCATAGAATAATAACAATGGAAGCAGTTAAATATAGTAAATTGTTTAAGTGACAATTCTATTAAAAATGTAGAAAAGTTATTTGCATCTCACTGATTATGCCTTTGCCAATGCATTGAGTGAATTGTCTATGATTTGAAGGAATAATAAAAGAATTAATCATCATAAGACAGTCCTGAGACTTACTCGTCTGTTTTCTGCCAGATACGCTGTGGACAGGCACACTGATATGGACCGGATTTTTAACATCCATTCAGAAAATGGTTCTATATTCACCTTGAAACCCCTTGACCGGGAATCATCCCCTTGGCACAACATCACCGTTACAGCCACAGAAATAAGTAAGTTGGAGGTCAACCCATCTGAGCACCTTAGTGTTCACTAAGGTCATGACAAACAGTATTATGTAGACTCTTTTCCTTGACTAGGGGGATTTTATAATGAGGAAAATCTGAGAGAAATTAATCAGAATGTGTTAGTCTAATGATTATTACATCATTCAGTTATTTTCCACTTGATTCTTTTTTTATACCTTCATGTGAGATAGAAATACAACTTAAACTCATGCAAATAATAATTTGGCCAAAGAAAATTATCTACAGAAACAAGTACTTTGTTCTCAATCATATGTTGCTCTTTTTATTGATGCTTTCTCTTTGGGCCATGTAAGGAAGCTGAGGTATTCATAAGCAACCTGGTCCAGAAGGTGAATACCATAGAAATGATTCATTGCTAAGTTACAAATTGGGCAATTGGCATCATTGCTTCTCGGTAAATGAGGCTGATATCTTATGCATGTTCTCATTGCAGATAACCCAAAACAAAGTAGCCACATTCCTGTCTTCATCAGAATTTTAGATATAAATGACCATGCTCCGGAATTCGCCACCTACTATGAAACATTTGTTTGTGAAAATGCAAAACCTGGGCAGGTAAAAAAAATTATTATAAACTTCTTGGTATTTTCTCTCTACCATTCTAATGAGATTGCATTAATTTATATCCACTACTTTTTCCATGCAGAGACTACTGTCATTCATCCTTGCTACCTGTTCAA